ATGATTACTTCCAATATTCATTCATACAAGAGTTGGACATCAAATTTAGATTATATTCTACAAATGTCAACTTCCACCAACTTGGCAACACATAAAAATAATTGCACATCCAACCCTCTAAAACTGTAAGTCCTTTCAATTTTTATGAAGTTAGGTTCCATCCCTACAGCACACACTGCCATGCTTCTAATACAGACTAGTTTATTGCAAGCAAGGTCATCCTTTCTTTGCAAGCATCTGCTTTCTCACTACACTGCCAGCCATGGATACCACCTTGAATTTCTTCCAGTCAGGACCAGGATAAAAAAAAATGTTGATCACTGTTGGCCAGTGTGGAAGTCAATAACGATGCAATAGTCTCTGGACTTCTTGTGATTAATCCATTTTGTCAGCAATGCTAAAGAAAAGAAGCCTTTTTGGCTTTCACAGCACTTGTACAAACATGTATAAGAAAAGTGAAGGATTTGGGTGATTTTGAGCATAAACCTTTCCCAATGTGAATTTCAGAGTAGCTGTACACTGAAAGAGAGATCAGACTATTCTGCTATACATTAGAACATTCATCTCCTGTCATCTCATACTATCGCCCAAAAGTTATATGACAGCTCTGAGTTTGTTTGGATAACAGAATTCACAAGCCTTACTGCTATCTCACCATTACATAGTTATTCCCTAGTATGATGGGGGAAATGGAGATGGTGCACTGAATATAACATCATTTGAAAATATAACATCGAAGACTCTAATTTCCTGCTGGATCCTTCATAGAAACTCCTGACAACTTTACTTATCCTGGTGTCCTCCAGCTGGGACTCTTGAGGATTTTCAGCCTTCTGAGGTTGGAAGGCTTACATAAGACCTCAGGCTAGCCATTAACTGTCTCTACTGCAGTGTTTCTCAACCTTGGCAAATTTAAGATGGGTGAACTTCAACTTCCAGAATTCCCCAGCCAGCATGGGGAAGTCCACTCATCTTAAAGTTGCCGAGGTTGAGAAACACTGCTCTACTGTTTTCCATTTATAAAATGGGGATCACAGCAGACAACAGCTTGGTTCACGTAATATACTATACCATAATGAGATTTATTTGGTTTTGGCTCAGTGTATTTGTAATTCCAGCAACTGTCATATGATATATGTGCAAACCAATCTATTGATGATGTGCAAACCAATGTATTTGGGGGGACAAACAAGACTCCCCTCAAACAATTATTCCAAGGGCCTGAGCTGAAAACATTAATGAAATATACTTACTTTGATAAGTCTACATATTATACAAAGACATCATATGATTTGTTTCATTTTTGGCTTAGCCAAAGTCATCATGGTATAAACTATAGGACTGTTGTTTAGCCAGTTTTATGGCTAAAACAAATCATGATACAGGTAGTCCTTGACTTACGACCATTCGTTTAACAACCGTTCGAACTTATGACTGTTGAAAAGAGTCATAATGACCAGTCCTTGCACTTACGACCATCGCAGTGTCTCCATGGTCACATGATCAAAATTCAGGTCCTTGGCATCCGGCATGTATTTACAATGATTGCAGTGTCCTGGGGTGACATGATCGCCATCTGCAACCTTCCCAGGGGGCTTCCAACAAGCAAAGTCAATGGGGGAAGCTGGATTCACTTAATGACTGTGTGATTCGCTTAATAACTCTGGTGATTTACTTAACAACCATGGTAAGAAAGGTTGTAAATTGGGCACAACTCACTTAATAACTGTATCACTTAGTGATGGAAGTTCTGGTCCCAACTGTGGTTGCAAGTCAAGGACTACCTGTAAAGCACAATGTGTGATCTCAGCCATTGTTTTACAAGAAGTAGATCTGCTCCAGAACCTCTGAATTGTTGCACTTTAGGTTTCTTTAGCTCTAGGAAAAGAACAAAGGTGACCAGAAGATGTACAATTCAGTTCTCAAAGGCGCCAAAAGGATGATTCTGGTGCTTTAGTAGCTGATTTAAACATTAGGCCTTTAAGCCAGAACCAAACAAATCACATGATAACTACCTCTGTAGAGGGTGCTAAGCCATAACACACTTAAGCCTAGTGTGGCATCTGAACTCAGATTATGAGTTAAACTATGATACAGGAAGAGAACCTTAACCAGCTTGAAACATTGGTTTATAATACAGCTTTTCACTGAAACCTTAATCTGAACCTGGACAGGAAGGATGGTTAATTTATGGTTAACTCTCCTTTTCTGTTTCTGGAGAGACAGAAGACTAGGCTACATAAAAATGGGCTGTTCTGGCTTTGAAATGTCTTCTACTTCAGACTTTTTCCATGTCCTATTGATGTCTCTGACTCTGTTGGACCACCATTTGTTTTCCTAAAGTAAAATTCAATGTATTCTTTTTTTAAAAGGGTTGGCTAGCCATCCATTGCAAATTGGAGGACAACCAACAAAATATGGCTGGCTATGGTCTGTTGTGTCATCTTTTTATTGTTGCTTCTAAGAGACAGGCTGTTATCACCAGACTTCAGTATATTATATGAACACATTTTACAGCTTAACCATAGCTTATTGGATAAGTCACAATTTGTTATGCTTATATACCATACTAAACCATAAAATATAGTTTCAAACCACAACATCCTTACAACCCATTAAACCCTAACCAAAAACCATAATATGGCTTAGTAATCCATCATGGAAGAAAGAAATTGGTTGGATTTTGTTTTTATAGAAAGGTAGTTCTCAATATGTGAAAGTTCTATACTACTCTGTATTTTGAGTATGGCATAGATTGTTTTGAGGTTTAAAAAGAAAAAGTTCAAATCTGCATCTGCCATGAGATGCTCTTCTCACTATAGTCCTGAACAAATCACCTTATGCCATTCATCTTGGGGTTAAGGGCTGTATTCAGTCCTGGCATAAGCACATATATGGCTGCTTCAGGATTTCTAGGAAAAGAAAAGGAAGAGAAAAATGCCTAAAATCCCATTTGGACAGTTAGGTTCACACCACATAGTGAACTACCAAGCAGACAACCATATTTTAACCTACTGTGTTGGGCAAAGTTAGCTTCTATGGTTAATGTATGGATGTAGGATGATCAAACTCAGAAAAGTGATTGATTGAATCATGATTGAATTAATCCTGAGAAAGTCACGAGCACACAGCAGATAATAATTTGTGATTTACTGCCCTTTCATTCTCCCTATTCAAATGACATTCCTGGGTTAGATGAATTCACGTTTTGCTCTTGAGATGTAAACCAACTCAGGTTAATAAAAAAACTGTCCCTGGGGCTTTAGGAGCTAAGATAATGCTTCCCCAATCAACCATATTGAACCAATTGTTTCTCAGAGTTGGTGGTAACGTTATTGGTTTCTTTCTGAGACATGATAGAGCGGCCTCCAAATAGGGCCTTCTCTAACCATTTCATTATCAGCTTTTACTCTTCATTCTCTGTGGCCATATGGGAAGGACAATTAAAAAAAAGGAACAGGAGGCATGTAAGGCTCCCGACACTAGTCAGTGGTGATGCAGCTCATGATTATATTGCTGATTTATTTATTTGCTCCAGTGGGGTTGGGGGAAGCCAATCTCCTAGCCTCCTTGGGGCTGGGAGGGCTCAGAAAACAATCACTTCCCACTGACAGACTCACAATTTTGCATTGCTGATTACTGCACAAGGGAAAGTTAACTGCATTCTGGGAAATGGATAATTGAATTGTGTTGTCCCAACATGGTAAATGTAGCTAACCTAAAGTATATGTCATATGAGGTGTACAGAACATTATTATAGCAAGCTATAGTCCCCAAAATAGAAACAAGAATTTCTACCCAATCTCTGATTTAGATTTCTCCTTCTCCTCTTTGTGGGTCCACCCAGCATGATAACCCCAAACTAAATTACTTTATTACTCAGATGTATGTACGAATGCAGTCTGTGAGAGAAAATTAGTACACATTCCTCTAAGACTGCATTTCTAAGTTAAGTAAAGCTGCATCTGTGATTTCCTGTCTGCCATGCAGCTATTTAAAAAGAAAAAATCCAGCATAGGACAGTTTACACATAATCTTGGCAGATGAATCAGGAATAACTATATTTACAAATGGACTATGCATATTATTCAAAAATAAGTCCCAATAATTCAGTTTGGCCTCCTCAGAAACAAGTGTGCCTATACTCACGGGGTCAGACTACCTATAAGGCTATAACAGCAATACTCAACTGCTTAGCTGTGACTTCTCATCCTTTTTATAACTGCATAACTATTTATTCCAGTCAGGTTGGTTCTCTAAGGTATATAAAGATGCATGAAGCATTCTTGGCTTCTTCACTGATCCCTCAAGCAAATCAAACTCACACCTTAAAGCAGAGTAGGACAACTACTCCAATCGACAGATTTCAAGTGTCACAATAAAATGACAACAAAGTCATTTTTTATGGTTGTCCCTGGAAGAAGAGACATATTTGAGGGGGGTATAGTGGTTCTGGTTTGATTACCAAAAATAATTTAACTACCATTTGGTATTATTACCTGCTCCAGTGCTTTTAGTGGGTGCTTCAAAAACCCATTGCTTCTACAGCAAAATATCTTGGGCCAGTTCTGCTCAGAAAGCAAGAATACCTGATAGTAACAAGTGAACAAGCAAACTATTTCATTTTGTAGGGTTGGGCCAGGATATATGAGCTTTGGGAGAGAATATTAGATTATCTTGCTTTCAGCCAGATTCTAGCCTATGCAAAATGATAACACTGCACAACAGTTAAATATCAAGCAATTCTTTGCTGAATTTGAGAAGTATAAAAATACATTTTTATATAGTCACATATCAGTTAAATAAGTGGAAAATAGGGAGATTTACATATGTAATAGGAAATATCCACTCAACTTACAAATTTTAGTAACTCCTTTCTCCATTACAGTAAATGCATTTGATTCAATATTTCAAACAGTCATTTTTGAAAAAGCTTGCATATACCCCTCTCCCCATTCAAAAACAAGTAATTTACATGTAAAAAGAGTAGGGTCTCCTACCTGATTTCCTTTTTGAGGATCCATAATCCCTGAAAAAAAGGCAACAACAGATAGACATGGTTAGATCCTGGAGCACAGAGGAGAAAAAGACGAGATCCCAGGCTCCTATCAGCTTGTTCAGAGAGACATTGTGGGATCCTTCTCTTTTAAATTGGAGCTGGGGACCATAAGGCATTGACACACTTAAACAGCCGGTGATCCAGCTTCCTAGATCAGCAGCAGCAGCTGTTGGTGCTGGTGCTCCTGCAGCAACTGAGCATAAGAAAGCCCATGTGATCTATTAGAAAGACCCAACCATCCAGGCGAGGGAAGGGGGAGAGAGAGGATATCAATTCTTTCCTCTCTTTAAATCAAGCTTCTGACCGAGCTGTGGCTGACTCTTAGCTCCTTATTGTTTTTCTCCAACTCAGAGGCACAAGCCTGCTGGCTATTCTCTGTCACGTTTCTACATTTTGCTTCAGGCAGCATTTTGTGATGCTCAGGATCCTCTGGTTTCAAAAGCTGTTTGCCATCTGCACTGCCTGCAGCTCCTTCTAGTTATCTCTCCTAACACTTGTCTGTACAAAAGGAGAAAAACGCCCTCGCTTCCTTCACATAGGAACAAATATGGTGGGATGATTTTCTTTTCTCGTTGGCAAAATGAAAGCCATAGCAAGCTGGTTCTTTTGACAAGGCTGCTTTTAGGAAAGATCACACTTATCAGGACATCACATGGTGCAGAACAGCACGGCTAGTCCTTAATGAGAAGCTCTTGTATTTCTAGAGCAAAATACTTCTTTAACAGCACAATCCCATGTCGGCTTGCTCAGTCAACTCCAGTGAAAGATGCTAAATTTGAAGAGAGATTCAATGGTATACATTAAAAAAAATCAATCTATTTTAACATTTTGCTTTTCTATTAATAAAGTCCTTTTCATCCAGAAATGGATGTGGCCTTTTTAAAAACGTTTGCTAGCATTTCTTTTTCTCCCTACCTATTTCCTATAATACAGATGGATCTGGGTATATTTTTCAGCACTGAATTAAACATGTGTAAATGACTCACACACTCAGAAAACAATGTAGGAATGTTAATATTAGTAATAATATTTGAAAATTAATTATTCCAGTCCTGTGGGTGAGATAGCTTTATTCACCATATTACAAATAGTGATGTGGAATGGGAGAGAATGAAAGGTGTAGCTAAATTAAAGCCATCTAAATAAAATCCTATATTAATATACAGTATTCAGTTGAAAGCTCCATTGAGTTTAAGTAGGCTTATAGAAGAAGCAAGATTTGAAACAGAGTGACTCCATTGCTTACTGTGCAATGCTATACATACTTACACAGAGCTAGGTTTGAGTAAACTCAGTGGAACTTACTTCTGAGCAGACACACAGAGGAATATCTACTGACTTAAGCTCAGCTCCGGTGCCTAGATGGAGTTTTCTTGCCAATTATTCCAGCTTCTTTGTTTTCTCTTTAGATTTCCCAGTCTAATGTACAGACTTCAGATTTTTTGGCAATCTCCCATGTAAGTACAGTACTAAGCAGTCTAACCCTCCTAGTTTTTCAAGATAAACACTAAGCTATGGCAATTCCCAAGAATCTTCATACTGGCACTGGTACTGTTATTACCATTCTTCTGCAGCAGATCCATAGTACTTAGAATTTAATTCTATAAGGTAGTCAGTTATAATACTGAGTATCTATACCAACCTTCTCCAGATAGGTGGACTTCAACTACCAGAATTCTCTACACTGGCTGTGCTATGTGGAATTCTAGGGACTGACATGCAACCATCAGTAGGGGTAGGTTGATCTATATACTATAAATTTAAACATCATCTGGTCCACAACTCATTTATAAACATGGGAATTCTCCCCCCTCTCCCTGTTCCTGAATCTTTAGCAAGAGCTAAGCGAGGATCTGTCTTCCAGTTACTTCAGTATTAGGAAAACATTTTCTTCTAAAACTCTTGTGAAAATCAGGGGTATAGGACCTTATCAGCTGGAGGTGAAGGAATGATAAAAGCAGAGTTGGGGAAGAAATAAGAAAATAACCAACAGATATATTCAATACTAAAATATTTGTGAAAGTCAGCAAACAAAAAAAACAGACAACACAGTAAGGCCATACAATTCAATTCAAAGGGGAAAAAAATCTGTTCTAGCATGTCTGAGCATGCATGTAGCACCTGTTGGCAACTCCTTAAACCAGTGTTGTCCAAACTTGGCCACTTTAAGATGAGTGGACCACAACTCCCAGAATTCCCCAGCCAGCCAATTCCCCATGCTGGCCGGGGAATT